GTCATTTCGTCACATTTAATAAATACTATAGTATACTGTAGCAGACAACCATAAATTATATAAAATATATACTAAGAAATACTACTAACAGTAAACTAGGTAAAATATTTTCTTGAGTACCCGTACTAATAAGTAATAACAAAAAATTAAGATGTAAGTATACAAATGTATATGTATATTCAATTTATAAAAAACATATTTTTAACTAATTTTAAATTAACTTTTTACTGTTAGATCTTTTCTTAAACACTATTGTCAATCACGACTAACTATAAGATTGCACACTCTAAGACTATTATTAAAATCAAAACTTTCTCTATTAAATAAAATCACAATATATACAAATTAATAATCTGACCGGCTACGAAATCCAGCCCTGGAGTGTAGCAAAGCTCGCCAATACCTAAACTCTTCAGGTGTTTCAATTTATCCACATCCATCAAATTAATTTTTGAAATAAATAAAAATATTCTTTAACTGCTGGCCAAAAACTTAAATAAAATTACTTGAAAAATTGTACAACACTCTTATATTCACATAAGTGATTTAAGATTTTATTATTTAATATTTATGTAATAAATCATCGCATATTATGTAGCTATAGTTTGTTTAGCAAACGAAGTTTAATAAACTAAATAGAAGTAACCTAAATTACATATTAAATATAATTAAATAATTAATAAGTAATAACTCATATATCTTAAAGTCTTATAATGCAATTGAAATAAGAGTAAGTATAAAACGTTTTATTTTTTTTATATAGTATATCAATGTATAAAGTAATGCATTTTTAGGAAGGTAAAAAAGTTGTTTTTCATATAGTAGTGGTAGCACATAATTAGATCAAATCTCTGGATAACATATTTTATTTTAAAGAATACCTAATAGCATTTTCTTTCTTAATAAAATAATTTATAGATAATTTTTTTAAGTCTATTACTACATTACAAAGAAAAGCTATCAACGACCATGGAATATTTTTGAGAAAATGCATCGGTAGGTACGGGACGTACGGTTCAACCGGTCTTCGTTCATAATTGAAATAATTGAAAGCGATTATTGATCAATGATCAGCTATTACTACTTTCAAATTTAATATCGCAACACACTAGGTATCTTGCGTCAGTCTCTCAATTCAATATTTTTTTACTTGTTTTATGTAACAATCCTGCAATTTTGACTAGGAAACATGTGAGGAAAGCGTAAAAATTATCCCAGGGATTGATCATTTTTTAATACGCGTTACCTTATTTAGCATATATAATTGAATACATATAAAAATAAATAAATCTATACTTAGACAACATTGTAAATGAATAAAAAATATTGAAAATAAAAAATATATCACGAAATATTACAACATTGTTTATATTACATTGTATGAATATAACGTACAAACAATTATACAAAAAAGAGAATAGAAGAATAAAATAGTTTTAATTAATTTAATAGGTAAGCGTTATTGTTGCTTCATACTTTTTTCATGATTGTTGTTTAGCAGGTAATCAAAATGTAAATATTCTGAATATTTGCCTAAATTAAGTAATTTAAATTTACAGTCATAGTTTAAATCGATTTTGTTTTCTTCTAAGTCTTAATAGTGCTTATCACAACGGAAAAAACAATGAGTTTATTAAACGTGACATTCGTTTAAAATTTTTAAAACGTATGTACAGTAAATTCTATAGGTTAAGTATATAATGTTTTGATAAAAAATGGTAAATTTCGATATACAATATATACATATGTCATATATAATATATATATATATATATATTATTCATTAAAATTGTATGTTAAAAAAATGGTGGGGATAATATTTCAACATTTCATACATGAGTTTAAATGTGTAAGCCTGTATTTTCTTAATTTTAAATTTGAACAGCTATGTACACAAAATAAAGAATCTAATCGAATAAATTATCATTGTTTTCGTATAAGTGTGTACCTAACACCTTTCTAGACTCAGCAGTATCATTTTAGACTTTTAGACGAAATTACCTATACGCGATGTACACACTGACAGAGTCGTCAACGACCTTTGTAAATCAATATCTAATAGAAACTATATAGCTTTTGGAAAATTCATCTACAACAACCAAATCGGCTGCGATGATAGGATATGTCTCGAAGTCAATAATAATGCATAAATGGTTACGGTGGATGAATGATAGACGAGACAAAGTGAGTATATACCTACTAGGTATACAATATACGGTATTATAATATTTACGTAATTTATCGATATGTGCAAATTATTAATAACTTACACAATACACAGTTAAACGCTTAGCTGTTATCAAATCATATTTACTGGTTAAAATTTTAGTATAATGCACTTATAACTAGAGAACAAAATAATTTGATTATCAAAATCGAAACCTTGACCAAATTTGTTGTTTTTACACTAGTCTTAAAACTCAGAAGTTAAAAACAAATCGTATAGTTGTCCATATCATTAAATTATTATTATTATTTATGTACACGTACAAGAGTTCATTAAAAAAGGTGCTACCTATAATTTTTTACAAAAATTAACATTATGATAATCCTTTATTCATAATTCATGAAATAATATCATTGATTTATTTTTCTTACTCAGTTAATGTGATAATGTTGACAATACCTACGTCAATGTAGTATATACACGAGAAACGTGAAATAAATATACTCTACGCAATTATTTGAGGAAAAAAATATTTTTATCTTATAAACGTATGTTTAATGTATTGCATTCTTTCTTTATTTTAGAATATTTTAAGATTTTTATTGATGGCATATTTGGGAGGGGGGCGAGGAAACCTTGGAAAAAAAATTCTCTGTCCCTCAAAAATTTCAGGGAGTTGTGGTAATGTCTCCCAAAATAACGCTATCGATATAGTGTATAATGACTATAATGTATACAATATAGTAAACTGCGTAGTATGTAGGCTATAGACTTCTTGATGGGACGACGTGTAGGCGACGGGGTGCAGGACGACGAGATAGGTGACGCGCACATATTCTACTGCAGTGCAGACTATGTTATAATAAATAATAATAATAATAATAATACGAGTATACGGTGATATAGGTCGACAGGGTGAGAGAAGGGTAGAAAGACCCTTTAAAAATCATAAACAAGGGCGTAAGGCGCGTAAACGTGTGTGTGCATGTGTGCGTGTTCGTATATACCATACTTACTGTTTACAATACAGCGCGGCGGCCTTACGGTCATCACGTGGTGTATTAGTGGATGATGTGATGGTGTCGGGGGTGGAAAAAAGTCAATAGTTTCCCCGCAATCCTCGGCGTCGGCGACGAGCAGATGACGAGGAGACTGGTAGCGGTAAGGGTGAAGCCGCGCGCGCGCGCGCAGATTTACACAAAGTCGCCCGACCGTCCAACGTCGTTCACGGGCTGAATGGAGTTGTCTGGCCCACCGTTATGCCAACCTAGTTTTACACGTATATACTCTGCGTTATCGATTTTACGAGGGCGTCAAAACAACGCAACGTGATTCCAACGTGGAATTCTACCCCGCGCATTTACGTGCGCATATACGCGCGTGTAAATACGCGTAGGTACGTCCTCATATTTATATACATACCTACGCTCGCCGTCCGCCCACACACCCACCCGGCCGACTGACGCACATAATATTATCATAATACCCATTGCATATTTACACGGCTTTGTGCGTACCTACTGCGTATATGTCATAAATCATAATACGTATGTATAATATGTACGTTATGTACATAGGAAAAAAAAAAAGATAACAATTATTATTATTGTAATATGCGTATACGTTGTGATGTGCGAGTGCGACATACCTACGCACAATGGTGCACATGCGACGCGCGTAGTTACGGTATAGTAATTAATAATATAGGCTAATGTTATTGGTATAGTATTATCTTAGACGATAGGTGTGTGTGTGTGTGTGTGTGTCATAACGAGTACACACATCACGACGATGTACGATATTATTATCATAATAATATTGTTATTAAATCATATTATACAATAGCTTACTAATTATTGCTATATAATAAATATGTTTACAATATTTTGTTAAGTAAATTTAGTTATATGGTAAAATATTTTTGAGATTACGATGGGCGCGCAGGAACGAAAATCGACGAATCGACAACATTACAGACGATAATACTTGAGCGGACTGTGTTTGTTGTTTCATTATTGTTGTTGTTGATGTCAAGACTCGAAATCATTATTGTCGTGTTGTAAATAATTGCGATTTCATTAAACTAGAGCGTATACAAATAACGAACACAACAATATAATAATAAAATGTATTCGACTAGCGGTCGCGGGAAAATTCGAGGTAAAGGTTATTGGGTTTTCATTATGTTTTTAAGGGGGGAATGTTATTAAGAACATGGAGACGTAATAAAAATGAAATACGATCAAGCAAAACAGCCGCTATAACGTACATAATAAATAATAATATTATGATGGTATACCATGTAATTCGTTCGTGTATACTTAATAACTACAAATATATATATAAATATACTAAACCACGGTATACGTATATGGTAGTAATGCGGATATAATATCGTTCTATTGATTATGTATAAATATATAATTAATCCATAATAATATACATCACACTGATATACGCGTGTGTTGTTGTACCGTCAGTTGTATGTCGCGGAAGAACAACACGACGATGATAATGATAATGATGATAATGATAATAATAATAATAACAATATTATTATTATAACGATCGATATTTATTTATTTATCTTCTTTCTTTTCTTTTTTTTTTGTATTTTTCGTGAAAGAGAGAACAGTGCGGCTGACTGCGCAGTAGACCGACAGAGCGAAAAACACACGACGCGGCCACGCCGCTATGGGAAAAATGTTGTTTTCGTTGTAATGTTGTTGTTGTTTGCACGGTTCAACGGTCAACATGACCCGCGCGCCGAAGAGGCGGGGATGTTAGCGCATGCGCGCCACTTGTTTACATCTATAGGAATACGCGCTGATTAATCGTCACACAGACACACATAATATAATATACGCACACACCGAATAACAACACACAGTGGTGGCGCTTATACGTATCCACATGACTTTTCCGCGGAAAATGTTTTCCATTAACAATAACGACACGGTGAAGCCAGTAGTAATATCAGTGGCAATAACTGCGTCCTCGAAATCGTCTGTTCCGTCGGTGTGTTTCTCGCGCGTCGTCGTCGCTGTTGTTGTTGTTGTTGTTGTTGTTGTTGTTGTTATTATTAACGTCGTGGTCGTCGACGTGCCGCCGTCGTCGCAGTGGTCAGTGACAGAAAGGGTTTTCGCCGATTTCCAATGCGCCCCGTCGGCCGCCGCCGTCGCCGCAGCAGCAGCATGTTCCGAATTATTGTGCTAAACGCCACTGCCGCCGTCGTACCGTGTTTTGCCCGCAGTGTTCGTTGTTGTTGAAACGATATCGTCTCGTACGCGCGTGCCGTCGTATCGTTTTCCTCTCATTTATCGTCGTTTTCGACGCCCTCGTGCGCCGCGCGCCGTGTATGTGGATACATTATTATTATAATTATAATTATAATTATTAATTTTTTTTTTTTCCTTACGATACACGAGAAACAAAACGACCGGTACAGATTATTAATTCATACCGACATACCTAGTGTAATATTGTATTTATACGTCTGTTCGTACCTACGCGATACGCGAACCGTACCTCTCGTAGTGTGTATAATACGATATCGCGGTGTGATTTGGCTATTGCGACGCACGTTTTCGTGGCCGTTCGAAGAGACGGCGTGTGCGCGAAAATCGTAACATTTTTATTGTTTTTGTTATTGTAGTGCTATGTGTGCCCACGTCGGTTCTAGTCAGTTCGCGTACGGTACAATAATATTATAGTTCGGAACGCGGACCTAGTTTTCGAGTTCGCACACGCGAAAGGAAATACCAGACGAGAAGTATGTATGTTACTTATTGCGTGTTATTTTTATTGCGAGCAATTGTGTAAAAGAATGAAATAAAAAAAAAAAAAAAACGAACGAATAATAACGTAAACAGTGCATGCCCTTGACATAACTGCCCGTTCTTGAATGGATAGGTATTAGGTATAGGTGTAGTGTGGTGTACCAACACCTATGCCCATTATTCCCATACCACTACTAGGCACATGCTTATAATAACAACATCAATATCATGTTTTAAACTTGATTTTGATGTTGTTTCTGTTATTGTTGATGTCGTTTGACACTGTCTCGGCTTGCGAGACTCGACAGGACAAAAATCTCATCTTTTCTTTTGGGGGGGTTTATCGCCTTCGTCGGCGTAGAAAGGCATTTTGTAGGGAAATCAATTCAGTGTTTTTGGATAACGTCATACCCTATGTGATTGGAATACAATACAACTTCCTAGAGGTGGTCAAACGATGTCGTTTTGTACCTGTAGGGCTGTTCATATTTGTCAATTTATGCTGCTGTTGGCTGCTGTTATACGCTCCATGTCAATTAATAATCAATATTCAACGTTACTTAGTTGATGATCACGCATTTTGCTAAACCTATTGCAATGACTTTTCACCTGTAGGAATACAATTTTATATTCGTTTTTAATGTGAAATTTAGATGTCTATAATCCAATTAATGTAGCATTATCATCAATTTTATGCATTTGACAATGTTGACCTCTACAGCATTTATAAAGCAAATTAAAATATTTTTTGCTTATCACTTTAACCGTAGTTAATAAAAAAACATTAACAATTGTATATTGTGCAACTTAAAAATCCGTAAAAAACTCTTACATACATATACATTTTAGTTTTAAATTAATTAATATTTTTTTTGCTATATTTGTACGTGTGTAAGTATTTTACTATAGAATAACCTTGATCACAAAATTTCCCTCAAACTACTTACCCGTGCTTTTTTTTTATAGTTATTAGAAAGTATCTGTTTTATTGTGAAGCTGATAATAATGTTATTTCTTGATTTGAAATTATCTTAAATGTAAAACTTAAGTATAATATTTTAAATTAAATATAGGTTGTATAGGTTATTTGTTTTGTCATAAAAAATAAAATTCATAACTTAGAGATAAAACTGATATCAATTATTTTATTTAAAATTCTGATAATCGTTTGGATGTTTCTGAAATAGTATCAGTTAAATAATTTATTTGTTTATTTGTTTTGTTTTTAGAAAATATTTTAAAATATCCAATAATTTTTCAACCAATTTATCAATATGATTGATAATTACCTATGAACAATTTATATTTTGTTTATTCAATACAAATTATATATAATACAGTTTTTTTAGCACAGTAATTAAATATTGTGCAAATGTTATCTTTTGATAGTTTTTTTACTTCCATATATTACATTCAATGAGCAGTGAGCACACTCCAACCCTTTTTTTTAAAACCATTGTATTATATTCTATATAGTCTTCATTAGAGAAATGTAAAATAAATTATAAAAACCATTTATTAGGTTTTATTAAGTATTACATTTCAATTTACTTATTCATTCTACACTAGTACTTGATAGGTATTACTGTAATGTTGTATTATATAAATGTTTTTTTTTTTTAAGTAATTTTATTCATTTAGTAATTCTATATTATATAATATATTAATAATTTTTCATTATAGATAGTTAAAACTATTAACAGAAGTTACTAATTTATTTTTAAACAGTTACTTAAATGTAACTTTTATAATTTAATAACCATTAAAGTAATCATATTTTTCATTGATAACTTAAGCTTATTGATTTAATTTCTTATCATTATTATTTCTCAATTTTGTGTCAACAATTTATACAAGAATATAGGTACTTAGGTTTATTACAGTATTTTATTTTAATTTTTACACAAATAGGTAGGTATACAATTCTTATTGTTTGGAGTCTTACATCGTTATTATACTTAAACTTAAGCCGAATGGGTTTATCATATAATTATTGAAATATAAGCTTCTGGATTATAATTCAATAAAAATATTACATTATTTTTGTTTTTGTATTCGTATATTAATATTAAGTAATAATAGGTAGATAGAGGTAACTCAGGTATTATTTATAATTAAGAATAATTAATTTCAATGAAATATTCATTTATTATTAAGTAATCATACAAGTGTAATACTTGATATTAGTTATCATTTTAAAATTATGTAGATTAGACTGATAAAAATAAAACCAAAACATTTATTATTGTTGCATATAATAATTCTTGAATAAAAATACATAACTAAATCAATATTGTTCATTTTCAATACGTTATACCAGTGGTGCGCAACCTGGGGGTCGCGAAATTTTATTAGGGGATCGCCAGTAATCACCAAATGAAAAAGTTTTATACTATACTATGTATATTGTATATTATTTTATAGTTTTATACAAAGTAAAATTATTTTGTACCGTTGATAGCTGTGTCAATATTATGACAATATGTCATATCTTAATGTTGCGATAACAAGTTCTATTGAACCACGCAGTATATGGGTTATTTTTAAATTGAATTTAATCAGTAATTTTATTTAATCTTACGGTTATTATGAAATAGTCCGATAGTCATGTACGAGCCGTTGAGTTAATCGTATTAATGCTTATAATTTTGTATAGCTTGTAATAATTATTTGTATTTTGTATTATTTTAAACTAACATTTTTAATATTTTAATATTTTATAATATATAAACTAAAACGATATGGATAAATTTTTAATTAAACGACCGATGAATAGTGATGATGAAAGTGCTATAGAAACTAAAGTTCGTAAGGTATCGGAAATGTCGTCAGATGTACAAACCAGTCGAAAAGTTAATAAAAAGGACCGTAAATACCAAGACAGTTACATCAAGTTTGGATTCACTTTCGATGTTGAAAAAGGTGAGCCAAAATGTGTTATTTGTTTAGAAAGATTAGCTTCAGAAAGTATGAAGCCATCAAAGCTAAAACGACATTTAGTTACTAAACATCCTCAATTCCAACATAAAGAGGAAGACTTTTTTAAAAGGTATGAAAATTCGATAGAAGTTCAAAAAAATACTATGCGTAATTTTTCTTCAGTTCCTATAAAAGCTCTAGTTGCATCATTAGAGGCTTCATATTTAATTGCTAAAACCAAAAAACCACACTCTATTGGTGAATCTCTAGTTTTGCCGGCCGCTATAAAAATAGTATCAATTATGCATGGCGAATCATATGCAAATGAATTAAAAATGATTCCCTTATCAAGAGATACTGTGTCGCGTCGAATTGAAAATATGTCTGATATTATAAAATCACAACTCCTAAATAGATTACGAGGAAATTATTATGCAATGCAATTAGATGAATCTACGGATATAACTAATCTTGCTCAACTTCTTGTATATGTTAGATATATTTATAAAGATAAAATTGAAGAAGACTTTTTATTTTGTCAACCATTAGAAGGACGTACGACTGGAAATGATATTTTTGTTCTTATAAACAATTTTTTAGAAATTAATGAAATTCCCTGGTCAATGTGTGTGTCAATATGCACTGACGGTGCAGCTGCCCTTACTGGTTCAAAAAAAGGTTTTAAAGCTAAAGTTCTAGAAGTGTCTTCAAATATAATGTTTAACCATTGTATGATTCATAGAGAAGCTTTAGCTTCCAAAAAACTTCAACCAGATGTTACTAAAGTACTCCTTAATGCTATAAGTGTAATAAATTTTATAAAATCAAAGTCATTAAATTCCAGACTTTTTTACTATACTTTGCAATGAAATGGGTTCTGACCATGAAAAATTGCTTCTTCATACTGAAGTAAGGTGGTTGTCTCGTGGTAAAATATTATCACGCCTTTTTGAACTCAGAGATGAAGCACGAATTTTTCTTCTGGAACGTAATAATAAACTTTCGGAACATTTTTTAGACGAGCAATGGCTTGCAATTCTGGGTTATCTTGCAGATATATTTGAAAAACTAAATTGTTTAAATTTAAGCCTACAAGGGAAAAATACTAATATTTTATTTCTTTCTGATAAAATCAATGCTTTTAAAAAAAAAATTCTTCTGTGGAAAAATTATATCGACGATGACAAATTTGAAATGTTCTCATGTTTATCAGAATTCCTCAGTGATAATGATGTGGATATTAATATGATAAAAGAAATTATAACTACTCATCTAATAAGTTTACAAACAAACTTTAATGCACGGTTTGAAGATTTCCCAGAAGAAAGTCTAGGTTGGATAAGAAATCCATTTCATTTTAATATCAATGAAATAAAATTAGGAAATTTAAAAATAAGCGAAGTACTTATTGACTTGTCATCAGATGAAAATCTACGTATCAGATTTCAACAAAATGCATGTGATACATTTTGGATTTCCATCAAATCTGAATATCCAGAATTATCAAAACAAGCTATATCAATTTTACTTCCTTTTGCATCAACTTATTTATGCGAAACAGCATTTTCAACACTAACGATAATTAAAAACAAATATCGCTCCAGATTAAATGTTGAAGCTGATTTAAGAGTAGCAGTGTCAAATATCAAACCAAACATAGAATCAATCATGTCTACAATGCAAGCTCAGGTCTCTCATTAAAATAATTAAAAAGTAATTTTATAATTTTAAAAATATTAAAATTTTTGATTATCATTATAATGATACATTTTTTAATTTTAGATTTTATAAAACTCTAATTTTGTATTTTTTTTTCATGTTTTTGATTAATTAAATTAAAGAAATATTAAAACTGCTCTAAAATTAACCATTTAATGTATATGAATAAAATGTGTGTATACATTAAGACTATTAAGTAAATTTAAATTACACACTTACATAATGTTGGTAGGAAGGGGGGTCGTATTAAAAAATAAATTATTTTGGGGGGTCGTGGATCAAAAAAGGTTGCGCACCGCTGCATTATACAGTTAATAGCAAATGTATGTGTATGATTTTATTATTATCTTCATAAATGTTATAATATATATTATTATAATAAATTCTTAAAAATACTTTTTTCCTTAAGTTAATATTAAAAATAATATTTTCAAAATTTAATGTTCAATATTATTTAAGAATTTATTATTATTATTTTTGGTTCCATGATAAAATGTTGCTACTTACAGAGTGACACAAACATTTTACTATTTTGGAATGTTTTAAATTAATTAATTTTGGTAAATTGTTATCTATTGTTTTTTACCCACAACAAGTTTCTCATTAACTCTAATCATAAAAATTTCCAAAGTTATTCAAATACACAATTTAGCTTCCTCAACCATCACTACATAATTGACCAAATAAACATTAGGTACAACAGATACAATCACCTCATTACTAAAGTAAAAATAATACTGTACTATCATTACTACAGCTTTCAATATCTCCAAGTTATTTAATCAGGTATGAAATGATTTTTTTAAATAAAGAAAATCTTACGTTCTGCTTTTTTCTTACTCTTTAGATACTACCTCAATGATTGTCAATTCTCTCTTGGCCACTTTTTTAATATAAGTCAGAGTTCTTCAAGGCACAGTAACAATCTTTCTTATTTTCAATAATTGTTATCGTGAATCAACTCACATGCCTTATATTTTTATTGCTGAATAGACTAATGATAAAACAATTTTTCAGTTCATAAAAATTTAATCACATCTAATTATCTTCGATATTATCTTTCTTGTATTGAAACTTGGTATGGTAAAAGGTTAAAATAAACAAAAGAAATTTCAATCACATCACGTTGTTTTAAATTAAATTTGTTCTCGAATTAAACTTAACAACCTATCAATTTCAATCTAATTTAATACAAAATATTTCAGTTTTCTCTTCAATAAAATTTGATCTGAGTCACTATAACCATTTATAATACTGTACTTAAACTAAATTTTTGTAATTTTCGTAGCTTTGAATATTTTATATCCAATATCAAAACTTTTGTTCCACTTTTAACCATTAAAAAAATGTATTAGGTACAACTAATTTAGATATTTAACAAAAAAAAATAATCAAAACAAAAGTCTTTAAAGTCAAGGATAGGTTAGATTATCCTCTCAATTACACACAAATTTAAAAATGAATACAATTTAGAAACTATTATATAATCTTTGAAACATTACCACAACTCAGTTTGCGATTGTCCAAATATTCTAGTAAAAACCTAGTCAATGCCTAGAAATCTGAACAAAAAACTAAAAAGTAAATTGGGAGTAACAATCTTCTGGCTGCCTAGCTTGGTCCTATAATCACATTCTTGGAGTCTCATCAGTGAGCAGCTACTAGATTCCAAGTTGAACTTCATTCTATACTCGCTTAAGATATACATAAATTTAATATTTTCAAAAATGTTTAGATACCTTTAAGGCAATATGTCACATTGTAACTAAATGCTTAGAATATTGAATTACCAATTATTGTTTTCATAGATATTTTCAAATAAAAAAAAAAAAAAAAACTGTTAGACCAAACTAGAAATGTATTTTTATCTTCTTCTTATGTTCGATAATAAATCATTTATTTGTATTAGTAATAGTATTAAAGTTAATAAGATTATATTATAATAGTATAATTTATATTATCATTCTACATCTATTTAATAAAACTAAAAATATTCTGTCATTATAATATAAAACCTATGATATTTTATTTTTTTAAATTTTAAATGTTTTAAATTAGTTGATGATATTAAATATACTAAATTAATTAAATATAATTTTAGTTTACAATTAATTAATTAATTTGAATTTGAATTATTAATAATTAAATTATAAAATGTATAAAAATGGTCAAAAGAACCTTGTGTGACCAAACATAGGTATTACAATTATTTGTGTTAAGATCATTGATAGGTCTCATGGTGAATTAAAGAAATTCTTTTGATTTGTTTTATTTATTTATTTTTGCATGAGATAGTTATGAACTGAGCATATTATTTGTTATTTTATGAAATGTATATATTTAAATAAATTTAATATAGATAATAACTAATAGGAATCTATTTAATTATATTTGAATATTTATTATGAATTATGATATATGAATGATATATTTCTATTGGTTTATAGTTTGTAACTTGAAAAATAATTGCTGTTTTTAATATCTTATTTTTTCGTGAATTTCCCATTTCTAACATTAATTGTCTTTATTGTTGTTTTGTTAATGATAAGAAATTCATAATATCCCAAAATAGTAATTACTATATATGTACCTCGATAGGTACTTATCTTTTATTTTTATTTGTTGACCTGTAGAATGCAATCAGTAGTTTAAATTTATTTTCATTCAATTTTAATATTTTATTTATCTAAATTAAATGTTTTAGTATTTTTCTTTAACTTAGGTACCTAACTTTTGTTTTGTTTTTTCACCTATACTAGTATATTTAAATAACTTAACAATGTGTTTTATGGTATACATTTTTTTAAATTATTACTTATTTTATTCATTTACATTTCACAATAACTAATATTGTATTTAATAGTTTTTATTTTTTTATTTTCAGAAATTGCTTAAAATGAGCTTGTTGCTGGCTCAACTTACTGACTCACCTAAGCCTAGAAATGCTATGGCTGGTGTTGTTAAAATTGGTTATTTAAAAAAAAATAAGAGTATGAGAAAAAAATTTTTTGTGCTCCGAGAAGAAACTGCTGGTGGTGGACCTGCGCGTCTTGAATATTATGAAACTGAAAAAAAGTGGAGAAACAATGCATTACCTAAAAAGTATAATTTAACTATTAAATTATGTTATATTTTATTAACTATAATAGTTACCTAATGGTTTTGTCATATATTTTATTATAGAGTAATTGTATTAAAGTCGTGCTTCAATATCGACAAACGTGTAGATGAACGTACTAAAAAGACAATATTATGTTTGTATACCAAGGAAAGTTCTTTTTATATATTATTTGATTGTGATAAAGAACTTGACGAGTGGTTGGACCTAATGTTAGTTTTACAACGTGCTTCTAAACATTTTGGACCGGGTGATTTACTCAAAGAACCTTTCGGTACTTAGTTGTATACATTTTTATTATTTTATAGTATATTAACATATTATAATTACATTTTTTTTTTTTTTGCAGAGCATATTTGGCATATTTCTATATTAAAAAAAGAGCTGGGAATGAATCCAAATTTAATAGGTATGACTGGACTCTGTTTATGTGACAAAAAAGTGAGCATAATGAAATATCCAACTAAATCAAAAGAACAAAAGACTATGGATATAATGGTATTTATCAATATTAATTTATATTTTTGCTATTGATTAATTAATAAAATTATATTTTTCATTTTATTACAGCTGTCAAGTATTCGTCGTTGTGGAGCTTTAGGCACTTTTTTTTATATGGAAGTAGGACAAAGTTCTCCATTTGGTTCTGGTCATATATGGATGGATACATGGAACAATGATGTAGCAGCTAGTGTTCATGAAACTATAATGGGTGCATCAAGTCGAAATCATGACACTAGATTTAGAATGAGATCATCATCATTTAATGAAGGATCACGATTAATAAACTGTCCATCAAGACAACGTTCTAGTTTTTATGGTATGTTTTTTACAAAATTGAACAAAGTTCCTATTATTAATTACTTGGAAATAATGTTATAGATGAGAATCACCCTGGGCTTCGATATAAAAATAATAGTCAAAGTTCCTCAACTTTAAATAATGGCAATGTTGATTTAACTCGTACAGGTAATTTAATTTAAGGTATCAGTAACTTGAATATTTATGTCAAGACTACTTAAATGTACAAATTTTTTCTATAAACTAGTTTAAAATTATGTGTGTTTTGTTTTTATATGATATCAATTTTTTTTCTCTGATTTTATATATTTCTGACAATTAGTGAGATTAATTACTGATTAAAAACTAAAATTTCAGTTTTATTTTTCTTAGATCCAATAAAAAAAAGTTTATAATATATTATTTTTAAGATTTAATAAATTCTGAATAAATGAATAATTTTAGATTTTGATTGGAATAAAAATAGTTTATTTTTTGTTTCTCAATATCATTTTTGTTGATAATAAAATAAAAGAAGTTTAAGATTTTATAGTAATAAAATATTCTAACTTTTTCAAATGTGCCCTTTAATAATTCATATATGAATGTAAATTGTTTATCTTAGTTATATTTTTTGGATATTTGTGTAAATGTATGCACAAGTTAAATAATAAGTTAAATAACTTATTTTCAGGATCAGTTAGACAGCGTTGTGATAGTATGCCATTGCGACCACGTACTATTAGTGAAAACACAACTTCATCAACACGTTCTTTCAATGGAATTTTATCCCCAAAACAAACTTTCCATAAAGGCTGTAATTGTGTTTCTGCCTCTTCATCATTATCAGCGTATGTTACTTATTATAGACTTATAATTAAAAATTTATAAACAATAATTTATTTAGGTTTAACGATTCTAACTTGAGTACCTGGGATTCATCACTTTCAAAATCTACAGATACCACAGATGGAATCTCTTCTTTTTACACGAGTCTTAATGACCATCGGTCTGCCATACTTGAGGAAAAACAAGAAGACTTTATTCCTTATACTCCATTAGACAAAGGTATTTTTATTTTAATTCATTATTTATAATCAATAGTATAATATGTCAATTAATATTAACATTTATAATAAATAATAATACATTTCGTTTTATAATACTACTATTTTTTTTTCTTGTAGAAGAAGATTCTTTGAGACAAACAAGTGACAGTAATGTTAATAATAACATTAACTTGATTAACAACAATATTGTTGGTAATAAATCCAGTTCCTCTTCCCAGGTCAGTTTTTTTATTAATTGCAAATATTAATAATAATTATTGATCATCCAAATATTTATTTCATAAATTATAATGTCAAAACAATTTTTTTTTTTTTTTATGTTTGTATAATGATAAGAATTAATAAGTTAACACGTTGACTGCTATAAGTTCACCGACATCCTAACTAAGATTTGCTATAGTGGAGCCATAGTATAAGTAATATAGTATTACTGTAATTTTCATGTGTGTATTTTTAAATAAGAAAGTTCAATCACAGTTCTGAATATACTGTCATAATTTAAAAGACTTAAACAATATAAATTTAAAATAAAAATAGTTGGGGTACCGATGGTCTGCTGGCAGTATGTTTATTTATTATGATGCCAGATTGGTTATTGGTAACTCAACTATTTTTATTTTAAGTTTGTATAGTCCATCAAAGTAATTTATTTGTTTATCGTGTTTTTCTGATCGTGTATAACTTTTATAATAATATTTTGTGAAAATAAAAAAGATTTTCATTGAATTCTATTAGGTTTTATATATGATAGATTAATATTCAACTACTCAAAATATGTATAAGATTGATGAATTAATTGATTTTTTATTTAAATTGTTTTTTTTTTTGTGTGTGTGTGTGTGTGTATGCCATGATGTCATTATGAAATCTTTATGTCTGCGCCATCAGACAATATTATATGTTGAGACCTGCACTCTAAATGACAACTTTAACATACCCGACTTAGGTCACCGGCAGGCTTGTGGCAGTCAGCATGTTAAATATCTTTTATTTAAACTTATACTTTAAATTGGACAATTAATTTTTATTAGATTACATAGCATTATTTATTAATATTTTAATTTTAATATTAATAGGCGGGTTCTTGTTGTGACTCAAACAGTCCGTATGGCTCACCCATCAATGTAGATGATACATATACTCCTTTAAACCCTTCTGGTTAGTAAATATATTATTTGCATAATTTGTTCGTGTTAATTTCAATTATTTATAATCTTTAGGTACGTCTGGAACATCTCCTCCACCAGATGGATACCTTCCAATGAAACCAGGATACACTTTTTCTAGTAATTGTGTAAATGCTATGCCATTGGAAGGAAACAGTAATTCTAAACAAGGTAATTTTTAAATCAATTTTTTTTTTTAATAAATTTATTAATAACATCTAATTTAAAAACAATTAAAAAATTTTAAATTATGGTGAATTATGTTAGACACAATATGTATAAATTATGTATTATTAATTATTATAAAAAATTTTAAATTCTTTATAATTTTTCAAAATCACAAGAATTGATTTATAAAATATATTTAAATAGTGAAAAGTATACTTTGTGCATATGAACTAGATCACCATAATATACATGCTAATTAGAAATTAGTGTTCCAAACATAATGAAGATATACAATTTTTTTGCAATTCCTTCCATTTATTTAATATACATTTCTGATAAGCTTTTATATATTAATTGGATAGAAAATTAATTATAGTGGATTCCTACTAAATCAATTTAAAAACATTCCATTCCTGTTTGATAGATATAAGTGTCAATGATTTGTAAAGATAAATATTATGTAAGTTAATGTTTCAATGATAATAACATTTTAATATTTTAAATATTTCAATATGATATGTGACTGGAGTGTCTTAAATAGTTAATTTCATAATCAAACTAAATAAGATTTAAATAATTCAGTATTTTAGATAATTATTTAATTTGCAACTTCAATATAACTTGTATACAATTTATAGTGGGGAAATTCAAAGTTCATGGTCATTGTTACTGTAATAATTGTCATTACAAAATTATTTCAATTATCTATAAGCTAATTCAGTATCATATTTGTCTCTTGCTAGTTAAACATAACTTTATAATTTTTAATTGATTGATTATCTAAATTTATGTTAAATTTTTATTATACATATTTTTAAGTAAATATTACCAATAATTTCTTGTTTATTACTTATATCACAATAGAACTTACTGAGATGCCTCAAATGGAATTTGAATCGCCTGAAGGCTATGTCCCTATGGCACCTGTGGGTAAAATGTCTGACTATGTATCTATGGATTGTAAGCAAGGATCTATTGAATCTGGAACACCTTCTACAGATACTCGCTTTTCTGACATACATTTAGACAAAGTTTGTGCATACCTTACTCCATCTGAGGACGAAGGACCTATTGAAAGGCCTACTCGAGCTTATTCTGTTGGTTCCAGACCAGATGGCTTAAGGGAAAAAATTGACAAGTATGTACTCACAATTAATAAATATATATTAATATAAATATAAATAACTAATGTTTTTTTTTAGAATTAATGCTGATCGAACAAGAGCTCGTGCATTTTCAGTTGGCAGCCGTGGTCGATTACCCCCAACCGGATTGCCACGGAATGGTTATCAGTCTGGTTCGACCAGTATGTCTGAACAAAGTGACAATGGTGATCGTGTGGAAATTGATTTTAGTTGTAATTCAAAATCTCGTCGTCATTATTCAGCAACTTGCCGTACTTTATCTATTCAACCACCAGCAGATTTATCACCAAGATCATCACCTAAACTTTGTCCTTCTCCTGATCCATTGTGTGCTCATAAACCAACTGGTCGTTCCCCTCCAAAATCTATAGTGTCTTCTGTAGATATTAAAAGAACACTATCTGGAGCTGTTCATGGTATTTCCAGATCACCTCCAACATCTTCACATACTTATTTATCACCTACATTGGAAAGAGTTTCAGAGGTGCCTGGTATTGAAGTTGTTGATAATTACATACCAATGAAACCAAGTCAAGGATTAAATCCCTGTGAAAAGTATGTTGATATTATTGTCTTCTTATAATTATTTTATAGTAAATTATTAAATTAATTAAATTATATTTTTTATTTCTGTCATTGTTGCTTTTTGTTAAACTATGTTTATGTGTAGTATACATATTGTTTATTGCAGTTGTTAAATAATATTTGTATTTGTATTTTATGTTCTGTAGCACAAATATGGTGGTAGACGAATCAATTAAAAGAAATTATGTAAATGTATGGGAAGCAGCAAGTAGCACGTTTCCAATCATGAAAATGATTGGAGGTTTGAATTGGAAAAAAAACAAAAAACGTAATACAGCTCCTGCTTTAGAACAACTTATACCTATGGCTGATGAAGGCATTGATGAAATAGATGGTTATACGACTATAAGGCCTGGTGTTCATACAATACCGGTACGAGAACAAATCAGTCAGTCTTCTGATGCAGTGTTAGATGCCATTTGTGATGGACTTGCAGATCTAGTATTCTCAGAACCACCTCCTATTGTCACATATAATTCTCAAAACCACTCTAAGTCCGATAATTCTGTTTCTTCGTTGGATGGGTAATTATAGAATTAATGTTGTAATATAATAAATATTTTAATTTAAACTCATATTTTGTAAACACTGGTAAAGAGGTTTATCTTAGTGCAAACAAAAATGTATATAATTTTTTTTATGCATAATTTTACTGTGTTGTTCTTTGTATTTGAATTAAATAAATATTAATATTTAAGTAATAGTATATGTAAATATATTTGGCATCTAAAGTATAACATTTTAGAAGAATTGTATCCAGGGGTAATTTTTCTAACGATATTTCAACTTTAATGGAGAATTTTTATTGTATTTAATGTATTTTATTTTTAGTGAATATGTTACCAATTTAAACCAGTATGAACTGAGACATAATTATAATTTTTGCCTTTTACGCTTTAAATTTTTAATAAAAAAAAAAAATTGATTAAATATCAATTGTTTATTGTTAAAAGTACTAAGTTATTAATTTTTTATTTGATTTGTAAAATAGTTAATTTAATCATATTTTAATGTATTATGTTAAAGTAAAATAGTTTAACATAGTGAAAACTAAGCTAAGATTTTGTTTCCATTACATGGGGAAAATTTAATAGTAAAAAACTTACAAGACTTCCTCCGTGTAGGGAAATAGTAGAAATGGTAGGCCAATGATAAGTTAATGAAAATGGATATTATAAAGGTCTTCTTTTAACTAATGTATAGATTTGATAGGAAGCAACAGTTGTCAGAGAAACATAATCATCTTAATAACTTATCCCATTTATATGTTAGATGGAGGTTTTAAAAAATAATGAACGTATAACTGAGTTAAACTACAGTTACATAGTTGGTAAATTTAAACTTTAAAAAGAAATAATGATTACCAATTTGTATAAATATTTATATTATTTTAAATTATAATTAAATTAAATTATAGTTAAACTTAAATAAGTATTTATTTATACAAATATAAATAAATAAATGTAAATATATGCACGCTTGCGTGTATGTATGACCGTTTATTTTTATTTGCAAAAATAAAAATCTCCTTGTGACCAGACGTCAATGTATGCAAATAAGACTGAAGAACCACTCTAGGGATATACCTAACTAAGTACTGTATTTAATTTTAGGTTCTCTGTAGGATTTTTTTAATTTACAAATTGTCTTGTTTGAGCTGATTTTTAATTTGTTAGATAACAAGAAAATAAAAATAATTATTGATAATAATAATAAATTCAATTGGTGTGTGTCTATGTTTGTGTGTGTATGTGTATGTGTAATATGTTAATTAAAATAAATTAAATTAATTGATAAATAATAACACTGTTTATGGTGTTTTTGGTTGACCTTTAAAAAAATTTGTACCCTACATCACTATTATTTAGAAAATTTTATAATAAAATGTATTATTCTGCATTCTCAATGTTACTTAATAGTTGATTGTCATTATTATGAATTTATGATGAATAAATGTGTCATATTTGTATCACATTATTGATAAATTTTAAATATATTTCAAACAGTAAAAAAATAATTGTTTATAGACCATGAGAAAAATTATAATGTTTCATTATTGTTGTTTTTTTTTTTTTTTTTTTTAAGGTAGAAAAAGTTTTTTTCATTATTTATTTTAGTGACATTCTTTACAAAAATAAAGATATTATGTATAAACTAATTATAGAAAAATGGAGAAACATTTTCTCAAAAAAAATTTCAAATTAAAATAATTTTTCTCACCGCCTGTATTTATTATACACTCAGTACTGCCACTATTGTAAGAAGACTAAATTGTCTGCCCATCTAACTATTAAAATTAAGTTCATGTTTTATAATTTTTGTTCATATTTTAAAATATAAATATTATAAATTGTATGATATTATGATTTTATTCAAGTGTGTTTAGTCTTAAAATGTAGGTGAAGATATTAGTAAATATTAAATAATATTTATTGTTTACATTTTGTCTTTATTCATTTATAGATAAATTTTGTTGTAGCAAGTATTAGTTTAAGGGAATTTAGTAGGCTATTGTTTGTTTTTTTTTTTATTAAAAATTTTTTTTTGGTTTTAGCCAGTAGGAGTTATTGCCAGTTATCATTTACATGAACAACTGTCTTTTTTTTTTTATTTTGCTCACATTCCTCAATTGTTTTCTTAATATTAATTATTTTGTTTAATGCTAAATTTTGAAAATAGAAAATGTTATTCAAACACACACCTTTAAAAATTATTTTGTTAAGTTTGACTTTTTCTAAAAACTTATCTTGTGATCACTGTATTTACTATTTAAATTTATTTATTTATTAGATAAAAACGTTATAGATAAAACAATTGAGAACTATCAATTTTGTAATATTTATTTATTTTGTAACAATACCCTTATAGTATTGTACAAAATAATGAAACAAAAATGTTTTAAACTTAATGCAATAAAATACAGTGTACATTTGAATTTAAGACTTATTTGTTGTTAAAGAATTTTAAAGTATAATTTCTATAATTTCATCCAATTTGCATTTCATCAGTTAAAATTATAATACAATCAATATTGGATGAAAGCACGTAAGTATTGAATTTAAGGAAAGTATGATATTTTTAGAAGCAAATGAATGCAATTAACTTATTTATAAATTTGAGTACCTACACATTTCAAAATTAAAAAAAAAATATTAAATTAACAATCTTTATCATTTTTTATAGTTATTCTGTTAAATATTAATTAGTATAGTCAAGATCACCACTAAGGTAAAATCAGTAATCACTAATCTGTATTATTGACGTGAATATGATGTTAATACCTTGACAATTAATTGTCAATATAAGTTTATATTTTAATTATTCATGCTACCTAATATTGTAAATGTATAATTATGTTACGATTAAGTTTACTTTTAAAAACATTTATTTAATAATTTAATATACTTCCTACTTGATAAACATTTTGACTTTCATTTTATCATTACACTTGAACAAAAAAGCTTTAAAATTATTTTTTAAATATATTTAAAAATCTAAACGATTTAAAAAAAATGATATTGCATTCATTTATTATTATTATAATAAAAATGACTGGGAGACTCATCAAGTTTATTTATATTGAAAAAACAATTTTCCAAAAAGAAAATTATTCAATACAAGCTATTCTAATGATTCAAATGATTGACAGAAATAATATGATAATATTTAATACCTTTATATAATTACAACTAGTTTTACCATTTTATGATTTATTCCTTATGGTATACACTTAAACGCAAACCTTTTAAAAAATGATAAATTGACTATTATTAAATTTAAAGGTAAGTCTTAATTATATAGGACATTTCATTAAATTTTATTATTTTCATTTCAAATGTAAAGTGAATTATAATCACGAGCAAATTAAAATTGTCATATTGCCACATTCTATTATCTTCTCACAGTGTGATCAAGCACATGATACCTATCAAAATAACCATGAGTCATGACTTGATAAAACAAATAACCAAAATAAGTATTGAGAGAAAATTTGTACATATTTAATTGTCGTTAGTGTTGTGGAAATTCCTTCCTTTTAGAAAGAAACTCGTTCCTGTTGCGAAAACGGAACACGTTTCTTCCCAACATTGTTAAACAAACTAATACATCCACGAACCATAAATTAACAAAGTATTGAAATCTGTATCCAAGTTTCCCTTTTTTTGCTGAAACTTAAAATAATTATTAATAGGTTTCGGGACAAAGATTTTTAATTCAGTGTTATCAGGAGAGTTAAATTATATTATTTAATTAACTTGTTTATTTAACCACGTTGTAAACTAAATTAAAGGTAGTTTCCAATTTATCAGCAACAAGCTGGTGACGATCCGAAGATTTTACCGGTACATACTAGATTATCGGCTCTGGGGTACCTACCTAATAAATCTATCACCTTTTAGCACAGAACTATTACATGACTAATGAGATGATAATATAGTTATTAGTTTGCTTTAGCAATCCTCGCCTTATAGGTACATTGGTGACATAATATTATGATTCACTAATCGTTACCAAACAGCTGTAAATATTAAATTCCACTATTCCAGTCTAACATTTGCTCGCAATAGTGACTAAACGTCTAAACTTAATTTTGTTGTCAATTTGTCATGATTGTATCACAATAAATAGTAGAAATCCAAATGGTTCAATGTTTATTTTGGCAAGCAATTTTTCAAGATTGTACGCCAGTGTAACTAGTAAACATATTCTGGTGGCTGTTGGGTAAACCAAGTCCGAGTGGAGACAAGAACATACACCGTAGTTCGTGCTTTAAAGTAAAACAGGAACTTCGATAATAAATATTATCTTGGTCTGTGTCAATGTGTCATAATCCATATAGACACATTCAGATATTCTCAATTCACTCATATTAGACATTAGTTATATAATTATACGTCAATAACCATGCCGGTGATCGTAAACATCACAGTAGATTATAGAGAGGTTCAGAGGTATACGCACAGCTTTCAAAATAGTGTACCGAGAAAATAATCTACATATCTTGGTGAACACATAGAACACTATAGAAGCGTCACTCTCGGGCGGCCAATGTTAATGTGTTTAGAATTCTTAACGGCCTTGAAATGGTTCGTAACTTCTTGTCTTACCGCCAAGCTTACAACATCATTCTTGTTGTTACGCCTAATCATACAATAAATATGTGATTGTGATAAGAGAATAATAAATTATATTTTAATTTTTTTTTTTATGTATGACATCAATTTTTTTATTTTATATAATACGAATATTGAATTTATGATGGCTAATATATTTTTAAGATATTTATTCAATAAATTTGTAAGTAGTTTGTTTTTCGGACATGATTTTATTAATGCATTATTATTTAACATCATTGACAATTAATGTTAATATATACAATGAATATGAATTATTTACCTTCTATAAGACAATTTAACAAAATATATACATAATAATATTTATAAATTACATAAAATTTGCAATTTTCTATTTTTCATGCGAGGTATTTGCAAATTACGGTTAGTTCTGGTCAAAGTAGTATAAATTCTAAATCTTATATATAAGTTTAACAAATAGTCATGGGGGAATTGTTCACAGGGATGTTCAAAGTATACATTTAACATTAAAGTTTTAAGTTTTTGCCCAACTTTTGGTGATGGTGCTAAAGTAGGAAATTGGTTTGTAAATATAATGTCTAATTCAAAAATATATTGGTAAAAATTACAATCTGGAGTCATTAATGATGAAAACATAGATATAGAGCTGTGTTGATGTGATTTGAAGTGTGTGAAAAAAAGTTCATCAGATAACTTTGTGGTAGTTCTGCCATATCTTATGCACGTTTCACAAGAATGCATGTTATAACACTTCATTATTAAATAACCACATATATATGTAAAAGCATTTCTTTCTGGCAATTCTAATGATCTGTAATTGGTTGCATCAATGGGTAATGGATTAATTTGAATTACCTTTTGGTTTTCAGGGAATACTGTTTTTAAATCTTCAGCTGGTATTTTATTTAAATTACTCAGTACTTGGTCTATGTCTTCCAAACAATTTGCACCTTCATTATATTCAAAATAAAAAATTTCAAGGAAGAGGGGTTATACAAATCTTATTAAGTGGTAATATGCAGTGACCTTTTTTTTTTAAAAATTGGCGGGCTGATCTCGAGCAATGCATTTCGATGTTAAAAGTGTTCGTAACATCATGTCTTACCGCCAAGCTTACAACATCATTCTTGTCGCTCCGAAATGAAGAAAATAAAAGTGGAGGGGTGAGTGTCGCTTCTATAGTGTTCTATGGTGAACATTCACTTCACAGCTGATATTATGCGTAATAGAATAGACATGGCTAATATGTTTTTATTCGTATTTGTTTGGTAAATTATCAGTTAAAATCGTGATATCAACTATCAAGGTGGATCTGTCTTAGACCTGTTGCACATTCATGCATATTATCAAAATTCATAAATTATAAGGGGTTCGTTTTCGATTTAATTTATTCATATTACCTATATTCTAGTTTTATTTAACCCAGACAGACTACCAGTGATTGTTACTGAGAATGTCAAAACCTTTTTAATAAGGTTTACGTCGGATTTGAATGACACTGAAACCTATAACAATACCGACTTACTTACTGTACCTACTTTGATTTAATATTGTAACATTTGTCAATTTGTGATCATAATTAATTGGTTAACATTTTATTAAAAAGTATGATGCTGGAAACCACAGAGGTGCGTAAAATGGACGCAACGCTTAAATTTGAATTGGTAAATTTATTAGATATTAATGATGGCTGGAAATTACTCATGGCCGCTGTAACTATTGACTGTGATCCAACCAAAAGTCGGAAATATACTTTTGATCACTTGAAGTAAGATTTGTTTTGGCGTACATGTTTACTATTATCTGCTTGTCAACATTTTTTAAACAATCAAATAATTGTATTAGATTAATAGAAATGGCAAGCCAAACACAACGGCGATCTTGTAGTGAGATATTTTTAGAAGAATGGGGAACTAGTGGTCATATTAGGCCTAATCTCAAGATTCTTATGGATCTATTGTTTGAATTAAAATTAATACGAGCTGCTGAGTGTATAGCTTCTAAAATAATAAGTGGTAACCAAGAAAATATTATGAACTTAACTATTTAGAATTTAAGTTAATTAAATATATATATATATTTATATTATAATGTTAGCACTTATTTATAGATAAAACTATTGGCAAGTTGGAAACATCTATGAACCTTCTAGAGGTTGATGAATACACAAATAATGATAATAGTGAAGACTGCAAATCTACTTTGTTTGCTCATCAGCTAAAGACCAGATCAATTTTAAATGATGACGAATGTAATGCAAGGTATAATTAGTTATTAAAACATTATCTATTGTTTTTTTTTTTTTTTTTAATCAGACCTTTGTTAATAATTAATAATACCAGTATAATATTTTTTGATAAATTTGTATATGCTTTATGTATCAATAAAAAGTTATTTTTAAAATAATTATAATTAGTATAAAATGAAATATTAATTACTATTTAACTTATAACAAATATATTTAATTCTGTAATATTTTTCTTTTATCTTGTAGGTTTAACAAAATTAAGTTACCTTATAAATATTTATCTAATGCTACAAATGGATTTTCGGATTCGTGTTTAATCGGAGCTGGTGGATTTGGAAAAGTATTCAAAGCAAAATTAATTAACCAAATAGTGGCAATAAAACTTATGGAAAAGATAATTGAAGAAAAAGATTTTAAACAGTATTTAAATGAGATTGATATTGTTTTAAAATTTAAACATGATAATTTATTACCATTAATAGCAATTTCATATGATGAACAGCCATGTGTTGTTTATAGATTTATGGAGAATGGTTCATTGCTTGATTGCATTGCATGTAAAGTATGTTTTTGAAGAATAATATATTATTGAATATAATTTTTTTATTAATTAACAATTTAATTGAACAGAATAGATCATCTATATTAGATTGGAAACGAAGGATAAAAATTGGGACAGATGTAGCCAGTGGACTAGTTTACTTACATACAGCATTTGAAACACCTTTTATACATCGAGATATTAAATCTGCTAATATACTTTTAGATGATAAATTTATTGCCAAAGCATGTATTTACAATTTATATAGTATAGTAATGATTTATATTTAATATTTATTTTTAATGTTTTTATAGATTGGAGACTTTGGCTTGACTCGTATTGGAGATCACACAATGACATCTGTAGTATTAGGAACATCTGCATATATGTCACCTGAGGCATTTAGAGGTGATATTTCTATGAAAATAGACGTTTTCAGCTTTGGAGTTGTATTATTAGAGTTATTAACAGGATTACCACCATACGATGAATGTCGGACTGGTTGTGACTTGGTAAGACTTTAATTTTGTAGAGAAAAATATTTTCATTTATAATTATTTTACTTGTTTTTTTTTAGTTGACTCATATAAGTGAAATTGAATGTCCTATTGAAGAATTATCAGACAAGCGTGCCGGAAATTGGAACGACAGTATTGCTATAAAAATATATGACTTGGCAAATCTTTGTACAGCTACTAAAACCCGAAGACCATTTATGCATGGTCAAGAAGGTGTTTTTGAATTTCTTAAAAATATTCAATCCGAAATTGATGTATAATATCATGAAAATTAATAATTTTATAATTTTATGTATATAACAATTAAGTTACCATAATCATTTGAACAAAATAATAATTTTATATAAAAATATTTTTATTTTGAGCTTTATATTTAAAATTATTAATTTAAATTATACAAACATAAATTTAAATATATTTATTTTGTACAACACTGCATGATTCACATACATAGTATTAAAGTTAAATGAAACAAAATAGTTAATTTTTAATATTTTAAGACCATAAGTTTTCTCCAAAATATGTGTTTATGTGGTTAAGTTGAAATATGTTTGTAAACCAATTCCTCAAAAGCACTGTACATAATTTTTATATACATAAAAACTTAATATTTAGCTTTTAATAATTTCATCAGCTTCTCCAATTTCATAGCTTTCATTAAACTGCCGCTGATCTTAAGTTTACCAGACATATAAGCATCGGCAGCTTTTAGCCTTCCTACAAATATTTAATACATTATTGAATTATTAGAAATAAAATTATAAAAAAAGAAATAAATATAACCAACCATCAAATAATTCTTCTATTTTATCAGCTTCCATTGTTAAAGTGGCATCTGGTTTTGTATTTGGTTTACCTTTTCCAGCTGCGCAATTTTCAGTTAGATCTACATAGTAAGTTCTATCTTCATCTCCTAAAAAAAAAATATATTTTTAATTAAACAAATCAATTTACTAAATATTTGATTTTACAAAATTTAATATATAATATACACTATATGTATTCAATTCTAATAACCTTTTACTACAAACAAGAAACAGGCATTTGTTCCTTTAGCTATTTCTGGAGTCAGATGTGAATTGATTTTTGTAAATATACCCTCAATTGTATCTATTCCATCTGATTTTTTAGCTTGTGATTTTTTTGTTCCTTTACTAAATCCATCATGAGGGACTTCGTCTAAGAAGAAGTCCACCATTAAATCTCCTTTATAAGCTAAAAAAAAAATATCAGTATGTAAATTACGGATTTAAGTGCAAATTGAACAATTTGTAGATGCTGACGTAAATATTTTAAATTATAATAGAAACATATTTTAAAAATAATAATGTAATCTAACTTTGGATAGGTATTCATTTTTTCCAGTAAATCTCATTACCATGAATAAAATTATTTATATTATCATATAATAACTTTTAAATACACAGTACAACATGAATTTTTTTAAATTGAAAAAATTATTTTAAATATCACTAAAACCAACTAACTGTAACCATTTATATTATTTATTAAGCTACTTACTTGGATCACTGGCATATTGGTCCATATCAGTGATTCCTTCTTGTTTTAGTACTTCTTCGTCAACTAGAAACTGCCCAGTACAATTTTCAATAGACTTACAAAGTACCGCATAAGCTGCATCTGCCATAATTTCTGGGTTACGAGATAACTTTTTTGCATCAGTAGAGCCAGATAACATTTCAACAGCTGCAGTATATATAGCTATAATGCAAATAAATAAAATTAAATAAGTTAGGTTTTAAATAGAATTTGAGTAATAATTTTGGATAGAAATTGGGTCTAATTTGTAATTTAGAGAGGACAAAATTTAAAATTTTTAAAATAATTTGAAAAATGGTAAATTTTACACACATCCAGTTTTTAATAAAACTTAAATTTATGGATAAGAATCTGAAACAAAATACTAATCATTACAATGAAAGCCACCACATTTTTCAAGATCAAAATGGGCAAGATCAAATGTCAGTTATATTTTTAAATTTATGAAATAGTTAATTTTAAACTGTTATCTTAAAGTCAAGTAGTGAATTAGCATTTTTATTTAAGTTATGAAAAAAATGACTTGAAAAAGTTGAAAAGGGGATTCTTGGATGCAGCATAACAATGCTTCAAACCTATACTTCATTTGTCAATTTTTAGTTAAAAATTAAATTATAATAGATTTACAACCACTTTAATCATCTGTATGGTTCCAATGCAATTTTTTTTTTGTTTCTTAAATCAAAACCAATGATCAAAGAATATTTTTTTCAACAAATGAATAACATTACAAAATATGGAAAACAATCTTATGATATTTAAATGCCTACCAGAAGTGTTTTGCGATTGAAAAATAAGATGATTATAGTACAATTGCTTCTCAGATAGATTATTTTAAATAATGTGTATTTAGAATAATATGTTAATAATGGTTAGATTGATCCCGCCTTGTGTTTGAAAATTCTCTATAATTGTTCTATACTTTAAAAAAATTGTATTTGTTTATTACCAGTTCTTGGCCATAATGCGTTCACGGCAATGTTATCTGCTCTAAGTTCAGCAGCCATACCTAATACACACATTGACATTCCATATTTAGCCATTGTATAAGCAACATGATCTTTAAACCAAGAAGGATTCATGTTTAATGGAGGACTAATATTCAAGATATGTGCATGTTTGCTCTGTTTTAGATAAGGTATACACATCTTTGATCTATAACAAAAAAATACTATTAAAAAAACTTAAATTTATTCACTGACATAAGAAGCACATTATCAAACTTTTTAAGCATTCAACTAAGTTCCAACAATTGGTATACTTGACAAATATTTGTTACTGACGTGTTTCAGATAGGGTTGTTAGTTAATGTATCACAAGTCAAAAGTACAGTTAATATACTAATGAATACTTGACAAATATATCAGTCGCTGGAAAACCAATTTATACGTAAATTACTGATGTATTTGATTATTGATATATTTAGTAAGTATACTAATTGTAGAAACGCAGTTCCTTATTTAATTATACTTGTAATCACTCTAAATTGGTTATATATTTTTTTTTAAATAATGAAGCTTTCAAAGTTATTGGGAATGAAATTTAAATATAGCTTGATGCCTTAATGTTAAAATAATATGGTTTATTTATAGTATTTAGTGTTAAATAATTAATGTTAACTATCAAACTTTCAAAAAAAGGACTATAATGCTTTATTTTTTCACCATTATAAAATTTTTTTAATTGTGATAAAAAATTATTTATGTTACATATTCAATATTGACCGCATAAGATAGTGCTGGCTATGATTGATCCAGTCTGTGATATTATAAACAACAATTAAAATCAGAAACAGCATCAAATTTATAAAATAATAATATTTTTAAATGTTTACACTAAAAATGTTCCTCTTGTGTTGATATTATGCATCAAATCATATCTCTTCATATCAGTATCTAATGTAGGAGTTAATGAAATTGCACTTGCATTGTTTACGAGTATATCAATAGTTCCAAATTTACTAATTGATTTAGAAACAGCGTCTGCTACTTGACTTTCATTTCTTACATCAACTATGCAAGGTAAACATTTTCCTCCAGCTTCTTCAACTAAAAAGTATTAATTAAAAAAATAAATAAATAAATAAATATAAATAATAATCAAAATAAATAAATAAAAAGTATGAAGAGCTAATGATTTCTATAAACTATAGTTTAATTTACTTCAGAAGATTAACTGTAAGATCAAATCTCAAATAAATTTATCATAAAATAACATCATAATTATATTAAATTTTATTAAAAAATGTGCTTATTTTTTTCCATTTTTTCACATTATGTAAATTTTAGTGTACAGTTGAAGTGCACAAATTTTATATTTTTATTAACTAATAATTTGAGAAAAGTAATAAAAATATAATATAAATTAATTATTTCATAATTATAGAATAAGAATTATTTAAATATTTTAAATTAATAGCAAGACTTGTTGTAAGTTGATAATTTATAATCGGACTATGAACTAATTAGTCATTTTAGTTATTTTATCTATAAAACTATGTTATTTCCGTGACAAATTGTTATATATAAAAACTTATAGATTTTATATGTGAGAATAAATGCTAAATTTACTATTCCTTGTGGTAAAACAAATTATTAAAAAAATGTATAATTTAAATTAATGAAATATTTTTTATATGCAAAAGCATTTTTTATTTCAATCCTACAAGTAAATATAACTTAGCAAATTTGTATTTAGCAAGATTAGTTTAATATTGTTAGCTTTAAATAGATCAAATTTACATTATATCAAATTTAAAGGTAAAAAATAAAATTATTATAGGTATTTATATGTTAGTTTTTCATACTTAAATTTTTTAGCGAATTATCAACATTTTTATTTGCAATATTTTTTTATATACTCATAAAGTTAAAACTCACTTTAAAATTTAAATATTTTAAAAAAGTGATAAAAATCTAGGTACAAATACTATACAAATGTATACTATTATTAAAATTAACAAATCTAATGATAAACTAATGAACATTAATTTAACATGTTATGCATTTGTCAGATGGAACTAACAAAATTTATTATGAAAAAAGATATCTCCTAAGTAATAATTTTATTTTTAAATTACTTTCTTTAGCAGCTGTATATATAGTTCCAGGTAATTTTGGATGAGGCTCAGCAGTTTTAGCAGCAATTACAATATTAGCACCGTCCCTAGCTGCTTTTAAAGCTATTGCCTTACCAATACCCCGACTCCCTCCAGTAATGAACAAGGTTAGTCCAGATAATTTTCTAAATACAAAAATATAGTTAAATTTATATGAAATAATAAATATATTTAATATTAATATAACATAATAAATGCAATTCAAATAAATATAAAACAAATGAATAATTAACAAACCCTGTGTTCAGCATTATAATGTAGAAAATGGGTATGTTCCTTAAAATATTTTAAGTTATAGTATTAAAAGTTCAAGACTTGTGTAGTTGTGTGTAAACACAATGATTCAACAAAAAATACTATTTGAATTTATCTAAAACTCTGTAACAAGGAAATAAAATAGATAGTGTTTTAAATGATTATTAAGAAAGGGCAATAGGTATAAAACTTACAGGTGATCAGCAGAAAATGACCATGACCTACAAAATACAAATACTATGTCCTCATTGAACACACATTGTTATTTGTACAGCATCCAAAACAAAAACAAAGATATTGAGCAATAAAAAATATATCACTCAATTGAAATAAGTTTATAATTTAAATCGCTTTATAAGTGTGCAAATTTAAAACTAACATAACTTTAAGGAATACAATAAAAAAATATTTCCCGTCTCCATTTATGGCACAATATAAATTATTGTACTAAAGTAGGCTTGTAGCCTTGTAACTAGTTATAAACTGTAACTGTATGCTGTAGGCTTGTAGCAATTGCCTATTATCAATACTTTAAGTAGTTTTTTACATAGAGTAAACACCGAAGACTAAATAGAAACATTATATTGTGACGTCTACAAAAATATTATCATAAATCATTTTTAGTATTCACGCCGATTACCAATGAGATAATATATTAAGTCCACAATACCTATGCTTGTTGTACTTCGTTCCGGTTACGTACTACTATTCATTGATGTCCATAATATTTGTATGTTAAAATACGTAATTAAAATACATAGTAAACAGAATAACAATCTTAAGAACTTGGAAATAATTCGCGATCTTAGAAAAATCTCCCAGAACACAATGTACTCCTTAAGTTATTACTACATAAAAATGATTGAACAATTATTTTTGAATGTTAATTAGTGTAATTAACTCTCATTATTATTTAATTAATTACAAATACCTTACTCATAGTATAGGGTATACTTTCATTAAAAATAAAAACCAAGTTGGTATAAAAACATTAAATTAAAATCAATTGAAGTTCAAGATAAAATATATGTAAATAAGCGATCGTCCAGGTAGTACTTGCATGCAACCGCGAGAATTTAGGTCTATTGTGACCGTCATATAACAATAATCGTTTTAATTGCTATGACGTGTTTGGCTTTCGACCGTGATATCTTAGTCCGTGGTCATAGC